GGTTTTGTGGGAAGACAATGTGGCCTTGAATTCGGCTTAGGTTTGGCGGGATTGATCTCTCTGGTCAAAACCATTTTCGGTGGCATCACTGAACGAATTCCTCTGTTTACAGTGTTTGGAACGACGTCATTTTAGACGAGGACTATCATCCTTTAATCTGCCCCTGAAGTATCAACTCCTATTCAATTTAGTCCTTGTATTTTAATTTAGGGTCAATTTGGACCCAAATTGACCCTAAATTTTTATATCTCTTCAATTAAACCCCTAATTTCATTAATTAAACTAATTCAAAGCTCAATTAAGTCCAAAAACTTATTCATTCTTCAATTAAACTCTCGATATCATTAATTAAACCAAATCAAAGATTAATTAAGTCCTCAAACTTATCAATTTTTTTAATTAAACTCATAATTTTATTAATTAAACTAATTTTAAGTTTAATTAAGTCTCCAATCTTATTAAATCTTCTCTTTTCTATCAAAATTGGCTCCAAAACTTATAATTTCACCCTGATTAAATCCTCAAGACTTTCATTTATGTTGTCCTTAACCCAAACCTCAATATTTTTTTTATTCTTTTCTTTTTTTTTTGTTTGTCAAAAATTAGGTTATAATAATGTTTGTATCAGAGTTTTTAAACCTAACTCGGTAGTTGACCTCGCCCAAGGTCCAGGTCACAAGTTTTCCCGAGCCACCGGATTTTGTTTGGATCATTGGGTCTCTTAGGTCAACCCTAATTTTTTTTATAAATTAAAATAATGTTGTTTTAGTTAAAAATAAATAAATAAATAATCAATGGGTTGCAACCGAGTTTGTTACTGGGTCATGTTGGGTCAACCAGGTCACTAGGTCAATCTGTCAAGTCAGCTAGATCACCTGATTTTTTTACTTTTCTTATTTTTTTTTAAATCCGGTCTGGGATTAGTCAGGTCCTGGGTGATCCATTTCGACTGGGTTTTAAAACTATAGTTTGTATATAGGTTAGGCATGTCGATGTAAGACTCGAAAAACACATTGATATATTCCTTTAGTAGTTCAATTAAATTACATTTCTCTTATGCTAAAGTGATAGTTCCAACTTTTAACTCTCTCTGATTCTTTTCAGATCCTACATTTACTAATTCCAGCTCTTCCTGATTTTGTTTTATCGTATTTTTTTTACCATTCAACTAGCTTAGTAAACTTTTTAACATTATTCTTCTCCCATTTCTTTTCATTTATTAAATTGATTTTTCACCAAAATTAGATTAATTAATCTCAATGCAATGGTTTGGTGTTTTTATTGATGGCCCACTTTCAAGATTCTTAAAACAAAAAGGCCTGTTTAATGAGTGAATGAACAAAATAGAGCACGGACAAGCTTATGTGAAAAAGAAGAAGAAGAAGAAGAAGAAGAAGAAGAAGAAGAAAGCAAGACATAATTGCATGAAAATCGCATAATCTCATTAATCAAAGGAAAAGAATCATACAAGGATCATCACAAAAACATATTCCTTTTCAGAATCCTAAGCCATAACTGCTGAAAACAAAATGATAACATTACTTTAGAAACACTGTCAAAATCTTTTAGGCCTATTTGCTTAGTTCCTTCTATGCACTATTGAACTAGCTTTTTAATTGGCAAGGCCTCCTTTTAACTATTCATAGTTAGGTAGGTTAGTACCATGATTTAGAGGTTATTTTCTCAAGTCTTAAAGTGGTCAACATAGCCTTCAATCTCTTTCTTCTCCAAAAATGGTGAATAGAGAGGTCAATAAGCATCTTGTTTAACTTCTTTATCTTATCTTCATGCTCTGTCACACAAGCTAGATAAAGAAAGGTCTTGCAAATATACATAATATCCATTTCCTCCTCGTTTAGGTCTTGACCTTTAATACAAGTAATTTTTTTATCTTGCTTTTTCTATATATCTGTCTCATAGTCTTTCCTTCCTAGTTTAAAGCTTAAACCAAATCATTAGTCCTTATCATTCATTTTCAAGTAATTAACCCTTTCTAACATCCCCGTACTTGGGCCATATCTCATTAGCAACCTATATTTCAACAAATATCTTGCGATAATTTTTATGGCTTTAGAGATCTCAAGTTTACTTCTCACAGCATTCTCTAGAACCAATTCGACATTCACGATCTCAAATATATGCAAATCCCCATCTTTGCTTTTCTATACCTCAACATACAAAACCAACACATTTTTGGTTAGGGATAATATTTCTTTAGTTTTAAACATTATCAATCTCCCATTGACTATGGTTGTAGTGATGACACCACAACTCCTGTAGAATGAATCCAAAGTCATGCTATATCACCCAATACCTATGTTGGTGATCTGTCGAATGCTCTATCATTATGTTACTAGGCCTTATATATGATGTTTTGATTGGGAGATGCTCTAAAATGTGTCTAAGCAGCACAGTAAGTGTTGAACCATTGTCTATTAGAACTTTTACGATGATATAATCCTTGTATTTTACAGTAATAAATAGTAGCTAGCTTATTATGCCTTGTTCCTTCTGAACCTAACTCTTCATGAGAAACACAACTAATTCATATCTTAGATCCTTCAGACTAGATGCTCTATCGAGTATGATATAATTTCTTATGGAACATAGGCTTTGTTTAGGACTTTCTGTAATGCTTTCCTCCATGACTCTAAGCTCAAGATAAAAGAGAGCAAGGAAATATGTTTCGGGAATTTTTCAATTAATCAATTGTATTATATTCACCACGTTTCATTAGTCTCAAGAATTTTATGGCCTTTTCCTTATTTATTGGTTTATTAATATCATTTTTCTTAACTAATTCTTCTATCTTCATATGTGAAGCACTGACATGACTAAAAGATTGATGTCTTCTCCCAAGTGCAGGAGTGTCGAAGTAATAAATAACCCGACAAGACCGGGATCGAACCATAGGGAGGTTAATTATACAAATTATAAATAACAATAATACAACAACAATAACAATAACAATAACAACAACAACAACAACAATAATAATAATTGTAATAACAGCAATAATAATAATAATAATAATAATAATAATAATAATAATAGTACTAATAATAATAATAATAAAGAAAAAGAAGAAGAAGAAGAAGAAGAAGATGAAGATGAGAACTTTGAGATGAAATATTAACGTAAAGATTTAACAATGATAATAAAAAATGTCAAGGTTAGAGGATCCACTAATGGTATGTCAAACAAGTATAGTATAAACTCTTATTAGTCAATTGAAAACAACACACAAAGAAGGTTTCAATCAGATTATAGCTTGTTAACATGATTACATTAGTCATCTTATTGAATTAATGCTAATACATGTAAATCTAGTCAAGCATTCATAATTATAACTTATGTTAACAACAAATCAAGTTCATTTCATAGCTCAGGTGTCGATTATACCATATAGTATGGGCTATGAAAGTGTCAAGCATTTGTTGTACCAAGTGTTATACAATATAAATCAAGATTAGTCATTTAACAAGCAAAGTATTAAAGAGTGAACAAGATAACAAATACAAAACATGTTAGTATCAAACATTAAAGTCCATATTAAGTTTACATTATACTTATTCTTACACCATTAGTGTAACCTTTTTACCTTGACATAATAAACTTAGCTAGACATAATGAAAGAAAGAAAAATAAATAAACAAAATAAGAACATAAATAAGATAAAAGTTAGCTAAGTAAATGAAAGGAAATGAAAGGCATAAACTTGATATTAATGAAAACAAAGCATAAACATTATAAAAAATACAAAAAGAGAAAGCAAGAGCATGATCTTGATCTGGAAACCAAAATGCCTAAATGCATGGCAAATGCCTCCTTTTATAAGCCAAAATTGGGAACTATTGATTTGATGACTAATTGATGAGTGGGTGACCAACTCTTGACTTGGTGACAATCCTTATCTTCTCTTGTCTGCCCAAAACATCATTGATAACGTCAAAATTGAAACCACTTGAAAACATAAAAGTTGTAGGCAATTGTCTCAGCTATCTTATGTAAAAAATTTAGATAATTGGGACTTCTAAAATTCCAGATATGGGCCAAACACTGAACAGTGCTCGAGTTGGAAGACAGATTCGGACTTCTTTGTTGTTGCTTTAATTTGGACTTGAAAATGGCCTTTTTAGATCTTCGGCTCTATGAAAGTTGTAGGCCTATGTCTTACCTTTCCATCCATATAAAGTGGACCTAAATCTGAGATCTACAACTCCAGATATGACCCAATTACTGAACAGTGTTATGGTTTGGATTGCACCGACATCTCTTTTCTAAGTTTGACCATCTCTTTGTCCTTTTAATTTTAGTTCTTAAATTCATCAATCAATCCTTTCATTTATGTGGTAGACCTGTATTTAAAATGAACATTTACCATAAATTAAAGGTATCTTATATTATTAGATATATTATTATAAAACATGTTTTAGTTAAGGAGTTATTGATACTTCACATGCTTTAGTAGATATATTATTATAAAACATGCTTTAGATATTAATATGTCTGTTTGATTATGATTATAAACCTATGGTATGTCAGTCAGAATACCCATGCTAACAGGGTAGTGTTAGTCTTTGTGCACATCGTATCTGAACCCTAGTTGGTCGGGGGAGTCACCAACGTGTGTGGACTGATCATCCCACAGTATGGAGCCTCATGCTCATTGCATTTTGATTTTCTGGCGAGTTTTATCATATGATATTCTTGTTATGACCTATTTGATAAACCTTTCTATAAAAACCTAGAGCCATACTTGTATATATATTTCTCATTGTTGTATTACCTCATGTGTGTGTATATTGAATGTTATCTACTCATTGAGTTGTTGAACTCACCCTCTCATTATTTATCCTTTTTAGGCTTATAGCAGGTCACTTTTGTTGGACCTTCAGAACCTGCTCTTTTGATTGTAATTTGTACCTTTCTTTATGTCTAGTCACTGCTCCAAAACTCTTGTATTAAGATAATTAAGTTATATTATGAAATTAGTTTGTTGTTACTGCTGTGTTGAACTCTGATTGACTTGTTAAAGGATAAGTTTGTATGTAAGTTTGGGTTCACATAGGTATGGAACCTTGGAAGGGGACCTTGTCTATGTGCCGGTCATGGATCCGGGATTCGGGTCGTGACAAACTTGGTATCAGAGCTTTAGGTTAAAGAAACAATAGTATAATTAATTTCATAATAAGTGGAGCATTAGGATCCGTATTGTCTTGTTTGTTGGTTTTGAAATTTTGAATTCTCATCAAGCATATCTTCTTCCTTGTGATAAATATGCTTTCCTATAATTTTGTGATAATTATCATGCTATTGTTCTAGCATGACTTAAGTGCTCTAACTTTTATTTTAGGAAATGCCGAGGAAAAGATGAATAGCTGATACTATTAGAGTAGATGATGATCAAGATGATGTCCTAATTGTGCGATTGAGAACCGCAAGGCAGAGAAGGAGGCGTGGTGCACCTGTGCCTCAACATGTTGAGGAGGTACCTCCACTAGTGAAGGAAGAGCCTCAGGAGATAGAAGAGGAAGATATGGTTGATGAAACAATTGTGGGGATTGCTGACCCTGAGCCTGTTACAGAGTTTCAACAACTTAGCCAGGTTGTGCGAACCTGGATAAAGTTTTCTATGGAGAGAGATAGAAGAAGGGATAGAGATGTAACCTCGACATCCCACACTGTTCAGGGAGTTAATGTGTCGTTGAATGACTTCATGAAGTTGGCACCTCCTATTTTTACTGGGATGGACAATTCAAAAGATCCTCAGAGGTTCCTAGATGATATTTGGCGACGGTGTGAAGCTTTGAGATGTACAGACCATCGAGCTGTGAGTTTGGCATCGTTCAGGCTGGAAGGAGATGTGGCAATCTCTTGGTTTGAGTCTAGGAAAAGAGCAAGGCTAGTAGAGGCTCAGTGGACATGGAAAGAGTTTAGCTCCATGTTCTTAGACAAGTTTCTTCCTTAGAGTGTCAGGGATGCTCGACTTTATGAGTTTGAGAGGCTATCTCAAGGGAGCATGACAGTGGATGAGATGATCTGAAGTTCACTCAGCTGTCTAGGTATGCAGAACATCTCCTACCTACTGAGGAGTGGAGGGTGAAGAGGTTCATTAGAGAACTTAAATCCTCTATGTATATGGTTATGGTGTCACAGATGTTTCTGTCCTACTCCTCAACTATGGATAGCGTCGGGTTGATAGAGACGCAAGAATTAGAGGATATGACTGCAGGCCAGTCTAAGAGGCCTAGAGGAAAGGGTCAGTCTTTTAGGCAACAGGGATTGAGTGCAGGTCCATCTAAAGGACGAAGTGGCCGTCAGGACTCATGGGTTCAGAGGAGGTTTAGACAGAGACCGTCAGTTAGTGGCTTGGGCGGTCAGAGTGGCAGTAATGGTACTCAGAGTTTAGTTCAGACTGTACCTCGTAGTTCATTTGTTTCACCTGGAGATAGTTCTTCATGTCAGCACTGTGAAGGAGGTCATACTAGTGCAGAGTGTTACAGAAGGACTGGGCTTGTTTTAATTATGGCCAGATAGGTCATAGGATTAGGGAGTACCGGAGGAGACAGTTGTCAACATCAGGATTATCTGCTTCGGTCCAGCATCCTATTCAAACACTATCGACAAGCCAATCTATGGCTCATGGGGTAGAGTTTTTGGTGGTCGTGGTCAGAGAGGCCGGGGTGCAGGTGATAGAGGTCAGATACAATAGGGTCAGGGGCATGCCAGAGTTTTTGCCTTGACTCAGCAGGATGCTCAGGCATCCAATATAGTTGTTTCAGGTATTCTTCATGTTTGATCTTTTAAAGCAAATGTGTTGTTTGATACGGGTGCAACTCATTCATTTGTGTCTCCATATTTTGCTATAAGGTTAGATAAACAACCAACCTTGTTAAAATCCCAATTTCAGTCTCCACTCCCTTAGATGAATTAATATTGGTGAAGTATATGTATCTGGATTGTGAAATAGAGATTGGAGATAAGATCTTTATGGGAGACTTAGATGTCTTAGATATGGTTGATTTTGATGTAATTTTGGGAATCGATTGGTTGGCAAAGCATAGGGTTTCGGTAAATTGTTGGGATAAGAAAATAATGTTTGATCTAGATAAAGAAGTTGGGTTGGTATCTCAAGGAGATAAGATTGGGTCTCCATCAATTATGTTGTCGGTTATCTCGAGGAAAATGGCCCGAAAAGGGGTACAGTGTTACTTAGCATATATAGTGGATGTAGAGAAAGAAGTTCCTCAGTTAGACCAAGTCCCTATAATCAGGGAGTTTATCGATGTCTTTCCCGATGACTTACCTGGATTGCCTCCATATAGGGAGATTGAGTTTTGTATTGATTTGGTTACGGGTATTAAATCAATATCAATGGCACCATATAGAATGACGTCAGTAGAATTGAGGGAGCTGAAGGAGCAACTGCAGGGTTTGTTGGATAAAAAGTTCATCTAACCAAGTGTGTCCCCTTGGGGAGCCCTAGTATTGTTTGTGAAGAAGAAAGATGGGTCATTGAGGTTGTGTATAGATTATAAACAACTGAATCAGGTGACAGTTCGAAATAGATACCCACTCCCTCGTATTGATGATTTGTTTGACCAGTTGCAGGGAGCTCAATTCTTTTCTAAGATCGATCTTCGATCTGGGTATCATCAGTTGAGAATTAGGAAGACAGATATTTCAAAGACAGCTTTTAGAACTCGGTATGGTCATTATGAGTTTTTAGTATTGTCTTTTAGGTTGACGAATGCACCAGCAGCTTTTATGGATTTGATGAATAGAGTGTTTGACCAGTTTATTGATCAATTTGTGATAGTTTTTATTGATGATATTTTGGTGTATTCGAGGTCTAAAGAGGAGCATGAGCAGCACTTGAGAATGGTGCTTCAAACTCTACGAGATCATCAGTTGTATGGCAAGTTCTCAAAGAGTTAGTTTTCATTGGAGAGTGTAGCATTTCTTGGGCATGTAATGTCAAGGAATGGGATTGAGGTTGATCCTCAAAATATTAAAGTAGTTAAGCAGTGGCTTAGGCCTACTTCGGCAACAGAGATTAAAAGTTTCTTAGCTTTAGCTGGCTACTATTGGAGGTTTGTGGAGAACTTTTCTCAGATTTCTGCACCATTGACTAAGTTAACACAGAAGAATGTTAAGTTTCAGTGGTCTGAAGCTTGTGAGAAAAGTTTCTTAGAGTTGAAAGAAAGATTGACTACAACGCCTATTCTAGCAGTACCATCAGGTTTTGGTGGTTACACAGTGTATTGTGATGCTCTGAGAGTGGAGTTAGGATGTGTTCTAATGCAGCATGGCAAGGTTATTGCCTATGCTTCACGGCAACTGAAGAAGCATGAACAGAACTATCCTACACATGATTTAGAGATGGTAGTTGTAATTTTTGCTTTGAAGATTTGGAGGCACTACTTGTATGGTGAAACTTTTAAGATTTTTACAGATCATAAGAGTTTGAAATATATCTTTCAGCAGAGGGATCTAAACATGAGGCAGAGGAGATGGATGGAACTACTGAAGGATTATGATTGTACCATACATTACCATCCGAGTAAGGCAAATGTAGTTGTCGATGCTTTGAGTAGAAAATCATCAGGGAGCTTAGCTCATATTCAGGAGGTACGAAGACCTCTTATTAAGGACCTGCACGAGTTAGTGGATGAAGGAGTTAGATTTGATCTTAGTAAAGCTGGAGCAATGATTGCTCATTTTCAGGTTAAGTCAGATTTGTTTGATAAGATAAAAGCAGTTCAGAAGAAGGATGATTCACTACTGAGGATCAGAAATGAGGTTGAGCAGGGTAAGGCTGCAGGTTTTGTGATAGGTGATGATGATGTACTGAGATATAGAGATAGGCTTTGTGTACCTGATGTAGATGATCTGAGGAGAGAATTGATGGTAGAAGCACATCAGACAATTTACACAATGCATCCAGGTTCCACCAAAATGTCTAAAGACCTTAAGGTATGTTATTGGTGGAATAGGATGAAGGCTGATGTAGCAGACTTTGTTTCTAGGTGTTTGACCTATCAGAGGGTAAAAGGTGAACACCAGAAACCTCCTGGATTGTTGCAAGCATTGTTGATTCCAGAATGGAAGTGGAAAAGGATCACAATGGACTTTGTGACAGGATTGCCTAGGATTCAGGAGGGTTATGATTCGATATGGGTGATTGTTGATAGGTTGACAAAATCAACCGATTTTCTGCTAGTTAAGATTACTTATGGATATGCAAAGTTGGCGAAATTGTTTATTAGTGAGATTGTACGGTTGCATGGAGTGCTAATCTCGATAGTGTCAGATAGAGGTCCATAGTTTACATCGCAGTTTTGGGTGAAATTTCAAGAAGCTATGGGTACTAAAGTGCAGTTAAGTACAACTTTTTACCCACAGACAGATGGTCAGTCTGGGAGGACTATTCAGATCTTAGAGGATATGCTAAGGGCTTGTGTTATGGATTTTGGAGTTAGTTGGAGTAAGTTCCTACCATTAGTGGAATTTGCTTACAACAACAGTTATCAGGCTAGCATAGAGATGGCACCTTATGAGGCTTTGTATAGCCGGAAGTGTAGATCACCGGTTTATTGGTTTGAGATTGGTGAGAAGAGGCTAATGGGACCAGAGTTGATTCAAATTACCTCAGAAAAAATAGAGGTAATTAGAAATAAGCTTCAAACAGCTTAGAGCAGACAAAAGAGTTATGCAGATAGAAGAAGGCGTGACTTAGAGTTTTCAGTAGGTGATTGTGTGTTTTTAAAAGTATCACTAATAAAAGGAGTATTCAAGTTTGGGAAGAGAGGTAAGTTGAGTCCTCGATTCATTGGACCATATGAGATTCTGGAGAGAGTTGGGGCACTTGCTTATAGGTTAGCATTACCACCAAATTTATCTGCTATTCATCCAGTATTTCATGTTTCCATGCTAAGGAAGTATATGCCAGATCCATCGCATGTGTTAGAGGTTCATCCCATTGAATTGAGAGATGATATGGTTTATGAGGTGCAACCGGAAGCTATAGTTGACCGACAAGTGAGGAAGCTTAGGTCAAAGGATATAGCTTCAGTGAAAGTGCAATGGAAGGGTCATTCACGTGAGGAAGCGACATGGGAGCTCGAGGATAAAATGCGTGAGGAGTATCCTCATCTTTTCGATAATCTCGGTAAGTATTCAATCTTTCTTATTAAGTTTCGAGGACGAAACTTTTATAAGGTGGGGAGATTGTAATGTTTTGAATAAATAAGTAGGAAAATACAATAAAGCCCTTGGTGGCTTAAAGTGTAGGTATAAATGAATGAGGGGTAGTGTAGTAATTCAACAAAACTTGATAAATATAAATAGAAAGTAAAAAAAAAA